TGGAATGTAAAAATAAATAAATAAAAGAAGACATCAGTGTAAAGGAGGGCAGCTCTGCACTGGWAGCCGACCTGAGGGGTTTGCAGGCTCTCTTGACCCCATATTGCTAGGGAAGGCGTGTACCATGTTCCCGTGCTGCTCTCATTCATCTAGTATTGAATATGCCCTCTTTTCCTCAACCTTGAATCTACAAATGTTCTTTTGCTCCTCAGGAGCAGTTTCAGAGGTGTAATGATAGTAAATAACTGCTGGGTAGCCTTCAGTCTGATGGAAACAGCTGCTTTTTATGGGTCTGGGGATTCAGAGGGAGCGAGCACAAATATAGCAGTTAAGGTTCCTTCAAGTTGCTGTCACCCAACACAGGCTGGTCTGGGACTGTTACTTCCCGCCCTTGCCAGAGCTCCTCTCCTGGGCCTCGTGCAGCTCACCTGGGCCGACGTGTCCCTGCGTCCGGGTGAAAGCCAGCGCCTCGGCTGGGCCGGCCGGGAAGGCAGCAGGTCTCCAGTCCTAACCAGTATGGCCAGGAGCTGCTAATCCACACGTTAAAGGAGCAGCGAGACCTGGTTGCTTCTCATGGGGATGCAGATCCAGGAACACCAAAGTTTGGGTAAAGCTTCTCAGAAAGGGGTATTTATAGAGCCGGTGGCCTAGGCCTGGTGCAGCTGGTTTCATCCCCTCGCTTCTTGATCCGTCTTTATTTTACATCAGTATAAACTGTATCAGGTTGGATTAAGGTTTACATCTCTGTGTGTTTGTGCGTGTGTTAGTGCTCTAGTTGTGCCAGTGTGGTGTTAAATACGTTTTTTTCCATATAGTCTCACAAACTTGATTGGATCACTCTGATTCTTGTTTCAAGGTGTGAGTGTATTCTCTGGATTGATATGTGTATGGCATCTGGATGGCAGCGTAATTGCAAGCACCCAAACTGTTGCATTAGTTGTATTAAGAGTATAAGCAGAGCTTTTAGCCCCAGCCTAGCCTAGCCTCGCCTAGGTTGTGGCACTGCAAATCTCTGTGTATCAGACTTTGGTCTGAGGCTCGGAGAGTTTCTTCTCCCYCACGCCCTGCCTGGTGGTGCTTGATGAGCTGTCAGTTCTGAGAGCTACTGAACGTCACATTTCACACTGACAACGCACTGCGGCCTCTCAGGGGTTGAATCAATGTTCCCTCTTCAGGGTGGCTCAAGTGTGCTTGGTTTCACACTTGCACATGTGCAGGATTGAAGCATGGGTATCTGTTTWTATTCAGATACTTTACTCTAAATCTGCTCCTCTAGATGACTTACGCGGTTATTTTAAAGCATATGTTCCACTGCATGGTGTTATAAGCTGTGTACAATGTAGTGTTACAAACTGTGGGTGATAATGTATAAAAATTGGTCTAATATTCAAAGAACAAAAAGGCTGTGGAATTTATTTTACGTATTTACATCTCAGTTTTCAGCCTGATGGCGGAGTTTGTTTGTCCACTTTGAACAACAACAACTTCTTAGAGCTTTTTCTTCTTCAACAAAAAAGCAAAACCAGGGCAGTTATATTTCAGGAAGTTTGTATTTCATAGTTTAACAGCTTTATTGGTTTCTGCTGAAGCTGAAGTGAATATAACTGCTTTTAACTCACTGTTTTTTCCATAATTATGCAGGAGTAAATAGAAGCGTAATTCCCCTGTAATACTGAATACGGTTGTGTGTCTTCCGTGTACCTGTGGYTAGCTGCTCAGAGAAGCTTAGATACCAGAGAAGGTGCAACCTCAGCTTTCAGAGACACGCAGAGGGATCTTTATTTGTGCATTGTTGAAGAGAATATAAAGGTAAAAACAATTTCCATGTTTGTGTTAGAGGAGAGAAATGCATCTTTTGACACGTGGGTTGTTTTTCTGCTTTGGTGGAATGAGAATCCGGCTTCTCTGTTTCTTGTAGCCAATTGAACGACTGAACTTTTTTCCTTCGCTTAGCTGAGAAAATCATTTTCTCTTGGTGCTGTGTTTCCTCTGCCTGTTGTCGGGTCCACAAAGAAGGTTGTGTGCACTGGGCTTGCAGAGTGTATTTCTTTAAAATACATCGTTTAGTTGGTTCTTGCCTCTTTTTATTCTATGGTCATCTGCTTTGTCCATTCACACTGTTAGCATTTTGGGTAGGCACGTGCACCTGCTGCCATCAGAGCAGCCTTCTTTTATGTCCATAGTTCATTAGATCTCCATTACTTTTCAAATATCTTCTCAAATTGCAACTTTTTTCTTTCTTTTCTTTTACTCCTCTGTTTTCTGATTCTAGGACTGGTTGCTTTAGTTGTTATGGAAAGCCTTTACCCTGCTTTCTGGGAGAGTTTTATTGTATGAAGTAGGAAAAWTTGAGATACTACTTTGAGATACTGTGTTGATGAAACACTTTTAAAAAATGTTATTAGAAAGTTTCAAAAGGCTGAATCTATCACTTCATCACCACTGTCTCACTACCTAGGCAGGAATATTGCAGCCTCTGTTCAGGAGTTCGTAGTGAAAGAGCTGCACTGGCYGCTGCTGCTGCTGCTGTGTGTCTTTTAATTTTTTTTTTTTTATTTTTTTACTATTCTTTTTTTTCCAACTGTTGCAGACCTCCAGAATCACAGCGGTTGGAAGGGACCCCTGGAGATCACCTGGCCAACCCACCTCCCTGAGAGCAAGGCCAGCTAGAGCAGGTAGCTCAGGGCTGTGTCCACCTGGGTGCTGAACAGCTCCACGGACAGAGGCAGCTCAGTCTCTCTGGGCAACCTGCTCCCAGTGTTTGACACCCCTCCCAGTAAAGAAGTTTTTACTTAACCTCTAAATGTCGCTGTGCAGCACTCAGAAGAACCTCYGTGTTTTTTACTTCCCCTAATCAGGTATTTCTGTGTATTGTTAATATCTGCCTCGAGATGATTTTTTTTTCCTCTTAATATTGGATGGCYACTAATTGCCCTGATATTTGCAATACCTGAATACCTGAAGCAAAAGAAAAGAAGAAGCTTCAAGAATTTAATTCAGTGTGGGGCAGTTGGAAAAAAACGTTCAAAAAGCATTCCTGCATTTTTTTTTGTTGGGTGCTCTGCCATTTCAGTGGATGAAGCACATTTGGGAAGTGTTTGGRGAAATATGTGTAAACATAAATGTATATGTAAGCACACACACAGACATATATGTATAGAGAGAGGGCGACGGGAGCCAGGATTGGGAGAGCGCCAGTCGTGCTGTAAAGGTCTGGCCTATGACGTAGGCATCAATGCTCTCTCTGTCTAAATGCTTTTGTTAATTTTCAATATCCTTCTCCTGTAGTCTGAAGTTAACAGTTTAACATTTTGCATYTTTGCATTCTCCTGGGACATCTAACAGAGCACGGATGCTGGAACTGATTCTAGACTTGAACAAAGCCTGCATTTTTTACCTTGCTCTGTTTCTGGTAGCTTGTAACGCTGTTGTTACTATTTTATCATCAACAACAACAGAAAAAAAGGTGTCGTTGTGCTATACATAGCACAGTTTACCTCTTTGGAAGGCTTCAAAACGTGGAGTTTGTGTTCATTCCTTCTCCAAGTTCTTAGCATGTTCTGCCCTTGTGAACACTATTGAAAGGGAGTGCTGAGGTGCACTTGATACCCTGAGATAGAATGAGATGATCATCTTCAGAAATAAGGGAGGGAAAATGACAAGCAAGGTCTCCTAGCATAAAAGTATGTGAGGCAGGGTGCAAAAAGCACTTTTTAACAATGCATTAATATTAGCTGTGTGAAGTTACCTATAAAGTGGACAGTGTGGTGAGCCAAAGGCAATAGAAAAAGAAATCCGTGCATTGACTGATCAGGGGGCTGATATTTGTGGTGAATTTAGTCATAAGCCTTTGTTTGTAGACCTGATAACTATTTGGACTTACTGTTCTTTCTCAGTGTTCCACTAGCWTAGAAATACTGGATTTGTGAACCCTGCTGAAAGAGCATGACCGTTCTGCCCGTCTCTTACTAGACTGGTAGTGTTGAAGCTGGTGCACACTTACAAGAGGTACAGCTTAGGGAATGCACTTTTGCCATTTAGCAGTGTGAGTGCATCTGGAATAACAGTTATAGTGTGTCCATCTTCTGTTTTAGCTCTGATTTGGGTTACTGTCAGTTCTAAAAAAGGCTGAGCAAATACAAAACGTGGAGGGGAAGCTACTATGTGTGTGTAACAAATGACTTAGGACACCAAAAATCACTATTTTTTTTGTATTTGGTAGGTTACCTTTTATCCAAATAGCTGTTAGTCCTAAGAGTCCACTTAATGCACTGCAAACATCATTCGCTGTCATCTTAATCACAGRCAATTGTTCATATCCTCTCCTTAGTGCTTGCTTTGGGTAGGATTTTTTTCCTATATAAAGAGAAAAGATTGGGATTGGTTCCTGGTCACTTCAAAATCAAAGGCATTTTTTCCGTGGCTTTGCAACCAGGATTTCAGTCATAGCAACTAGCAGCAGCATTGTTCAAACAAGCTAATGCTTTGGGCAAAACAGGGAATGGATTGGAGATGTAATCTAAGCTACTTTGAGAATACTGTCAGATAGCCTTTTAAGATAAGCAAGATGAACACCTTGTGCTTTGTYATTCTGAGAGAAAAATAAAAACGTTTTGACGTGTAAGCAGAAAAATGTGGGTACTTAAGTTTCCTATAAAGGAGTACAAACCAGAGGCTTTGTAATCCTTTTCTTTGTTTAAAAYGTGAAAGCTTCTACTCTTGACTAAATTCAGCAATAAGTGCAGTACATGAGCAAATAGAGGGAGTTTAGGAACTTTTAGGTGATATTTTTTAGGTAGAAAATCAGTAGGAAAGCAATGTTATTTTCAAATATAGGGTCTTCTCTAGCAGTACAGTACTGAGAAATGCTATCTTAATGTATTTTTTTTTCTTTAAATGAGATGTTTCTAATATATACCTTCAGTGAATTGAATTAAATGTCTTTGTTTTTTCAGCATAGCTGAGACTAACTGYGGTTTTCTTTTTGTTTTCTTTTACAGGTTGCCTTTTTGAAGATGTGAAGAATCCACATATATATGTTGAAAACTATTCTAAAATTCATCTTCAGCAAAAAAGTCTATCGCTGCCTTCCAGTGGTTTGCTTTCTAGAAAAGAATCACCTGACATTGCAAAACAAAATTTGGGGATGTAGGGAGTATTCTTCATGTCTGGTTATTTTTCCAAAACCATAAAACCCAAGACAAGGGACTACATTCCTAGATGTCATTCTGGGGGTATTAGAATGATACTCTTATCTAAAATACTAGAAAACTGGGATAACTGTTACTGCGATGCTTTTATTGCCAAATGAATACATAGAATTATCTATGTACTGCCTTTATGAGACAGTRGTTGATAAACACTTATGTGTCCTACAAGTGGCATCAGAGAAATGTTCCTGAAATATTTTGTGTTGTGAATACTCAAGTAAGATTTCTACTTTTCTGATCAGGAAAAGTTAAGAGATCCATTTTTAAAATTATAATCTTTTACTTTGTTGGAATTATACATTTATCAAGTATATTGTTTCCACATCAAGGTCTCTCTCCTTCCTTGTGAGAGGGGGAGGAGAAATATTTGCTAAGGCTCTCTGCGWTTTTCTGTAAGCATCTGATACTGACACATAACAGGCAGGTAGTGGACTAGTTTGTCTGACCTGTGTCAGGTAATCATGAGGCAATTCATGTGTCTTGAAAATTGAATGTATAAGAAAAGTTCTCCAAAATGTGAGGGAGAGAGAGCAATCACTTGTTTAAGTAGTCTGTCTTYTTCAAAGTCCATCTTTAATTTCTTAAAATCAAAAGATACTACCTTGTCAGAAGGCAGATACATGTAAGGAACTTATTTTAAGGAGGTTATTTTTGGTAGAGAAATTCTTCCAAGGCTTGTGAATTTCACGGAAACTTAAAATGACTTCTACTGGATGGTGAAATCATGATAATGTAGGAACTGACCTTGCAAAGTTTTGAACACCTTCTGTGAGTTATTAGGCATCAAGAGACAATGAGTGAGACCTCTCAGCAACCATCATGGGCATCTTATTTTTCTGTTGTTATTTTAATTTTCAGTATTCAAGGAAGAAAAAATATTCTGAGTTTTGTATTCAGGGTGTAGATTATCTAGCTCTGAGATATTTTATCTGTGCATCAGTGTATAGTCATTTTATGAATAAAATATATTTTCCAAATCAGTTTACTTTGTTTATTCTGCTCAGTTTCTGTGACAGTTTTGGTTTCCCAGAATACCACAGAGTGGTTGAGGTTGGAAGGGGCCTCTAGAGATCATCCAGTCCAACCCCCTGCTCCAGCAGGGACACCCAGRGCACGGGGCACAGGGCGGCATCCAGGYGGGTTKGGAAGATCCCCARAGAAGGAGACTCCACAGCCTCCCTGGACAGCCCGTGCCAGGGCTCYGTCACCCTCACAGGGAAGAAGGGTGACAGGGAAAAGAATAACACGTTCTGTTCCGACTGTCCTCCTGCTTGGGGGCACTTTCTTTCCCCAGGTTACCAGTAGCCCCACTTGCCTGTCTGTGTCTAAGCAAGGTACAGGGCAGGTGAACCCGTGGAAAACATGTTTCCCTTTGCTCTCCTCCCCAAGATCCTCACCAAGGGATCTTGGTGAACTTTTAACTTTTACATTRTCTGGAAGATATTAGTCCACATAAGGCCAGATAGAAATGCCTCGGAAAGGTTTCCATCTCAAAGCAGGTTTCTTTGTCCATCCTCAGAGGAAAAAATGTTTTTGAGTATTTTTGGTTTTTCTTTTTTCCTAAGCTAACAGCCAGTTAATCAGTGAAGAACTCATGTTTCTGAGGACAAGTGTCACAGCTTCTCACCCAAGSTCCCCACATCACCATGATCTTTCCCATAGAAGTGATAGTGGATTTTAAGTTGACACTTTCTTGCTTTCTAGACCCTTTATAAGAAGAGAAAATTGGCCATTTTTCTGGGACTGTTTTAGCAATGAACCTTGGACTGCTCTAAAAGCAATGGACCTGGATTAAGCAAAACTTCTGAGTTCTGCTCGTGGTTCMTTTCTCGGCCATGGCCTCTCACTTCTCCCTGCCTTTGTTTTTGTCTGTGGAAAAACATKAAAGCATTTGCTTGTTGGCATCTGTATTTTGAGAAAGACTGAAGAAAAACTGCATAGCTGTGAAGTACCATTAGTTACCATGTTATTCTCATGGCAGGAGAAAGCGTGTTCAGTCTTTAAGTATGTGGGCAAATTTGGTATCTCCATGCAGGTAGAAAAGCAGGCACCAAAATAGACATGGGTCTAGAAGTTGTGGCTTTTAGAAGATTATTTGTCCTACTTACTGCTTCGCCTGTGCTTTTGTATCTGCCTGTTACACTCTGCATTCTTCATGGCAGAATGAGTCCTAATTTTTGCTTTCTGTCTTGCCAAGCACAATGTTAGTCTTAAAGTAATAATAATAAATCAGCAATGACATTAAGGAGTCCCCGACTCATATTAACTGAGATAGATGGGCATCCTTTCCTAATGTGCAGTTTCCAAATAGCGTCAGGCAACAAGAAGATATTAAAAACGTCAGCTTTAATTCTAATATCCCAACAAGTTATAGGGATGGCTATTGGCGTGGTGCACAAAACATGCCTATCTATCAGAGCACTACTGTCCTCTCCATAAACAGAGAAAGACAACAATATTGCCTCTGGCATTAATAGGGTGTAGGGGGATTGCATTACTGTAGGGCTTGTTACTTTTTTTAAGTATGTTTTACCATTATAATTAACTGGGATAGTTAGACTGGCATAGCAAATTAGGTCCCAATGTGGTTATTTTAATTCCAAAATTAGGGTGACTTTTTCTAGCTTAGTCTAAATCCTCCTCCAGAGTACTTCAGGATAAACTGAATAATGATAATGAAGGGATTGATGCAGGGAGCTCTTCTGCTATAACTCTCTCCGTTGAAGTGCAAATTCTAGCCTAAATACATATCACTTTTYTGTGTAGACAACCTTTTAGATATAAAGAACAACTTTAATTAAAATTCAAAATAGATATTTTTGCACTTCAGCATTCTGCATTTAAATGCAAATGTGTTTCAGCAGTTTTATAWTTTGCTGCCTTCAGTTTTGCTCCTTCAAAATATCGCTTTATGGTTTTGACTTTTCAACGTTGCATTCTTTCATTTCTCTCTCAGAGTTCGTGTTCGCTAATAATAGCAGACAACTAATTTACAGGTCATTTGCCAAATTCCTTTAAGTTTCTCTCCACCCGTTTYCTTGCTGGCATCAAACCACTTGTAAAATCAGTGCAAAATCTGCACATGGGAAAGGTAATGGAAGCCTTGAGCAGCTGTGTCTTCACTAGGCTTCTTGGGTTTATGTTTTTGGAGCAGGATAAGTTGCCTTGTGACAGAGACTGTGCACTGTTAGGTATTTTTCCCAAAATAACAGGAACTTTACCACTGCACGTGCTGATTACTCGGTGGCAGCATGTGTGTCTTCCCCTGCCTGATGGTGCCACTAAGCATGGCATTGTGGTGTTGTGGTGCAGTGTGATCAGATGATGCACTTTTAAACACAACAGCGACTGTATCGTCTTGCTGCTAGGTTGGGCCATTGGGATTGTCCCATGGAATGGGCAGCATATGCTCTGATCCCATCCGATCGTGTAATGCACACATGGGCTGTGCAGGTCCCTATCCTGAATGATAGGATGCAGTGATGATGTATAAGCATATCATTTTATTATTGCAAACTGTATTTATTTTAAAATATTAAATGACATTTTAATTCATATGTCTTTAATGACTTTTTAAAATTGCAAAGTTTTTTATTATTTATCTCTCTCTGCACTAGCTGGGTGTTCAGTACTGCACACAGGAAGACTGGGCAGCAAGTGGGTTCTGTGTCATTGGTAGCTCCACCAGCTAATAATTGTGAAGCAAACATTGCACCCTAATTTCTTACCCCAATTAATTAAACATTAATTGGTTGGATACCTTACCTTTTGCCCCTCCCGTAGAACCATGATTGTGCCACAAGGATCATCATTTTCCTATCAGTAACACGGTCATTACTCAGCAGTTCCACCATGTCAAAAGTCCCCATGTGGGCACAAGCTGAGTGACAAGCCCTGGGGGCAGATTTTTAGGTAAAATAAACCTGCCATGGCTCTCCTGACTTCCGTGGTGCTCTTGCCAACTGACATGAGCCGTGGGCATGCAGTGTGCATGGGAGGGAGGTGAGGTCTCTCGCGTTCAGCTCTCCCTCTCATGCTCACCATTTGCACAAGAGCGTATTGGCTCTCACCAAACGCAGAATTAAATGGGTGTGCAAGCAGAAACAAGGCTGGGCACATCTGAGAAAGGCCTGAGACCACATCTGAGCAGACATGGGCACAGCTATAACCACCTTCATGCTGTCGTAATGCGACAGCTCAGCACGGGTCACGAATCCAAATGCGGTAGAAGGACATTACCTGTAAAGCAGGAAGAGGGCAGAAAGAAGCTCAGTCCGTGCTCTATCAACAGCTACATGACACAGCCTTAGGAGCAGGCTAGTAGAGGTTATTCACAGTGCATCACATGAAGGCTCTTCTCCAAACTTTGCAAACTTTGTCGAAAGTTCTGCTCTGCCTGTGACTAATGGGAGGGATGACATGCAATGATCCAGTTGTGTAGCTGGGGTAGGCTGTTTTCTCAGATTATCAGACTTGCCCTTTATCAGGCTTTGATTTATGTGGACCTAGTAAGAGAAGAGCAAGAACAGCCCTTTGTTTGAGCTTCGAAAGAACATTGTGGTATGGGACAATTTACAGCTTGTGCTTTGTCGCTGAAGAGGAAAAAACAGGTTTTGTAAAATGACTGGAATAAATACTCTCAACCACATGAAGCAAAATTAAAACGCACTAAATCAAGATGCCTTTTAAATGGCTATGGCGAGGACGATATGAGCTGCTGTTTCAGTTGATTCAGAGTAATTATTAAAACCACATGTTGGGGGTGAGATGCACAAACATGGCTCGACTGTTGCGACCTCTTATCTCCAGCGCCAGAGGCCGGTGCCTGTTCCGGGCCGTGACGGGGCTGGCGGCTCTCCAYGCGGGTAGGCGAGCGCGTGGCGGGAGAGGCCTGCGGAGCAGGGAGCACGGCGCAGGAGAGCGCCTTGCCGGAGGGCTGCAGGGAATATACAAATCCACCCGCCTCAGGGACGCTATTTCCTATCTATAAAAGCGCCTTCTAAGTTSCTGCGAGTGTTGTGAAGAAACAGCTTGGTGGGTTGTGGATTTGGGGATTGGCATTGTAATTTTGTAAATGAAAACGTACCTTTCTAGCCTGTCAGGCTTTTCCAGTGTTCGCATGAACCTGAAAGAATATCTTTTATATAATAATTCTGATTTATTTCACAAATAGTTAAAATTAGCTGTGTCTTCACTAGGGTAGGCATTGAAGTCTGTGCCTTCATCCTCTGCTAGATTTGATGCTTGCTCAGCGAGAGTCACCATTTGCACAAGAACCTATTGGCTTTCACCATTTAGGGAATATTTGTTTGAGACAGAAACCAGCAACAGCATAATTCATTGTTAGAGCTATTTGCTGCCGCAGGGCTAGTAAGGAAGACCTTAAATGAGCTATTTGTTTTGTTGGATATCATTTCACATTTTAGAGCAGATTTTTGTCTTTTATTCTACTACACATTTTGATTACACTGTTTGTGTTAATCGTTTCTTTTTTGTGCATAGAACATCATTTTAGATTATTTTCAAAAGACTTGCAATTCAGAACCAGGAGGATCTTCTATCATTTGAATCCTGTTACCACGGGCACTTTTTCATATGGTTTTGTCTCGTGTGACTCCTTCCTTTCCCGATTTCTGTCTGTTTCTATCTTTAT